TCATGACGTCATCTAAATGCATCTTAAGATTACGTCATTTCGGTAATTTAAGAGTCAAAATGTGACATCATCTGATGAATCCCACTGACGAAAAAGGCATCATCATTTCTACTTCTACCCAGTGATGAAATGACGTCATCTATGGCTCTACTTGCAATAATGTTATCGTTTGATGAACTCTACGTGTAAGACAACACTTTATCTACCAAGCATGTGAAATGATGTCATGTGAAGGTACTCCTAATGTACTCCTAATGCCCTTAACCTAAAGCACCCAATATATAAGGAGCAGACATGGGGTTTAGGGTGTAAAGGGAACATACAGACAGTCACCAGACAGTCACCAGGATTGATCAAGGTGCCTACCCCACCCTACACCCCTAGGGAACTTTTGTCCACACAAAGGTAACTTACCAAAGGAAGGGAACATACAGACAGTCACCAGGATTGATCAAGGTACCTACCCCACCCTACACCCCTAGGGAACTTTTGTCCACACAAAGGTAACTTACCAAAGGAAGGGAACATACAGACAGTCGCCAGGATTGATTGTCACCTCATAATGTTCCATGTTGTATAGACCTGGGTACTGATCGAGGTCAACCCTAATGAAAATGAACAACAATGATTTTACTTCCAAAAAATCCATACCTCCTCTAAAGAGGAATCTTGAGATTGGAGAGCATATATATCTTAATGGTATTCTTTTCTTTTTTTCTAGGGACTAATAAAAATTCATGTGTCATTCCCTTGAGTAGACTGATTCCATGTTTTCGCTCTGTTGTCAATTCTGATATCGCTAACACATAGGTTGAGCGGCACAACCCACAAAGGAGCGAAAACTACGACTTATGGAATCARCCTATCCCTTGAGAATAAAATTCTTTGCTCAAGTTTCATGCATATTAATTTATCTTCTCCAGCGTCACTGATAAACAAAGAAACAATACTCAAGATAATGACATATGGCCTGAAATGAGAAAACAATGGATTGCATATTTTTGACATGGACTTTTCATGGGATAGTGAACATGGTGGTTTAGCTTCAATACAAACATCACCATGCCTTATATAATATTGTTTTCACCCAAGCTAGACCACAATGCATCATGATCAGTCTATTCTGGCTTACCTGTCAACATCCACACTTGAGTATCCCAGATCTGTTACATTGATCTAGAATTAAGGAAATCTTTTAGAGAGCAATCAGCTGTTTTTTAAGTTTTACAGAGCATAGAAGAAGCTGAGGAGTACCCAAGCCCTCGGAAATTCACAAYTACCTATGTCACAATTTTGGAAAGTTCTTGCAACAGAGTAACTTGCTGTCTGTATTGTTTAGTTCCATAAAATAATCCATACCCTCCCTCCCTCCCAAAGGAATTTTGAATTTTTGAGGGGTGGAGGTTGGGGGGAGTCAGAGAAAGAACAAAATTATAGTGTTTTTATGGAAGAAAATTGGAAAAATTAAACAACAAAACGGATATCAGGTTACCAGATCCATGTATTTCTTATCCACGATAAAGAACCTCTTGCTTCCTCTGAAGACACAGTTTAAGTTCTCAGCATAGTCATTGTGCAATACAGACTTAGTTCCACCATTACTCATCCACATCATCTATGATAAAGAATAGCATAGTAGTAAATATAATGGTAAGGATATAATGGTAGAGTATGGATATTTCTTGGAACTATACAACATACCTTCCTCAGCCCCTCCCCACCCCCTCCCCACCCCTTGCAAATTCTAATCTACCTCTGTGGGGGGGTATGGATATTTTCTGGAACTACACAATATACCCTCCTCAGACCCTTTCCCCACCCCTTGGAAATTCCAATCCCTCTGTGGGGGAGGTATGGATATTTTCTGGTACTACACAATATACCCTCCTAAGACCCTCCCCAACCCTTGGAAATTGCAATGATCCTCTGTGGGGGAGGAATGCATATTTTCTGGAACTACCTAATTAAAATTTGAATTATCTTAGCACTTCCTAAATGCACTCTATTTCTCTAGGGATTTCTTTGTACTCACATTATACAACAAGTTTTCATGGATCATGTTCTCACAAGCCAAGCAAGAAGGAACTAGAACATCCTTCCTTCATTAATTAAAAGAAAAATAACAGGAACTGTGAGAAAAGGTAGCCTTAATTTTTAGCACTTAAAGAATCAATTTCAAGGAAGTTAAACATGTGTTTTTAATGGACTTTTCTAGTATGAGGTTATCTTAAATAAATGTAAAAAATAACAATTATGTAAAAATAACTCTCCGAAATTGTTACTTTTTATAAAACAATCAAGTTATTAATTTTCATTTTGTCAATAATAAATTAAATATATTATAATGAATAATAATATTTCTATTTGTCTGTAATTACTTAGAGGGTGGGAGTCAATGGAGATGAAAATTTGAAGCCTCTGCACAAAGGGGAGTAATCTCCGCGGTCCCTGGTTAGATAAATAAGAGCTCTTCTCTAGAGTGCATTCAGTCAAACTGTTGAACAGTTGATGTCACCCACGAGTAAACAGCTACTGAGATCAGGGGGAGAAATGATGATACAAATGAATGTCTATTCACTCATTCTCTTGTAAAACAATCCCCCAGATTAGCATGACCGTTATTTGGCGTGCTTTTACTATTTTAGGTGACGTCAACTAAATAGTTATCTAGGTTAGACACATTTATCTAACTATTCAACAGGTGACTGAATGCACTCTACCACCCCTCCCCTACTGGATTTTAATGAGACAGCAGGAAAATTACAAATTCAAAAATATCCACAAAATTCAGCATTGTTAGCTGAAAAAATATTAAGAGTTCTAGTGCTAAAGGAAACTTAAACATACGTGCCAATTTCATAGTAAATTCTGCCACCACCTGGCAAAAAAAAAAAAGAAACTTCGAAGGAACGAATCAACGAAGGGGAATTTTAAACCGGAAGTTAAACTTCAAATTCATTAATCGAGGGAAAAATAAACCTTTTTGATAAAGAATTAAACTATAATATGAAATATCCTCTTATTTAAATGCTTTTATACAAACTAGAATACAGTATTGAATTTAGAGGTCGAAATCAAGTCGCTTTTCTGGATGTAAACAAAGACCCTTGAGAAGGGGGAGGGCTAACATTGTACAACATTTCTAAGTTTTAGAATTAAATATCTTCTAGAAAATCTAAGCTTTAAAGTTGAAAATAATAAGCGATCATAAGACTTATTTTCTCTAGTTTCTTACCTTAGAAAATTAGGCACACTATTGACCATATAAACGTCTTTCTTTCTGTAGTGTTTTAAGTATGTGCTGAAGGGTACATCGTTTGCTGGTTGACTTCTGTTTTCTTTCTTTTTCGTCTCAACTGTCACGATATATTCTCGGCTTTCTGGGTACGAAAGAAAATATTCATCGTTCCATAACTTGTAGGCAGGAGAACGCTTAGCTGCGTCTTTGAATAAGACTGGTTTCGATGGAGACACGAAGTCTTGGAAGAACTGTTTTGGAGTTGGAAATCCTTCAAAGACTTCAACTTGGTGACGTTTACCGTAGGAAAAAATTGGCTCCAAGTGTCCTTTCTTTTTGTTCTGGTCCACTTCACTACATTCGAATAAACTTAGATATGTAAGAATCAAAGTTGCAAGGTATAAAAAGAAAACTGGTTTCTTTGAGAGCAAACGAGCCAACATAATTTTTGTTGAGTCCTAAGTGTCTAAGTATTAAGTCAACTTGTACTCAGTTGTATCATATATACAGTGTTAAGAGAGAACAGATGAGCTTTTACAGTAAAGTGAGGGCGGGTTTTGGAGACTCAAATGAAACAATTATTAACTGTGAAATTTTTTTTTTCGACCAATCAAAAAACGGAGATGGCATTAACTTCTTAGCTTAAAACTCAGTGAATCTTATTAAAGTGGGGCCTTCAAATTGTTTATATTAATTGGAACATTTGGAATTCAAATTTTTGGACGGAAACATCTGTTGTTTATTACAATATATCTAGAAACAAGATCGGCAGCTGTAATGGATTTTGACTTTGAAGTTTATGAGCTGTGAATAAATATTCATGACAAAAAAATTTAGGAAATGAGATGGCAAAAAAGAAATATACTGAATGACAATCAATGAAAGGCAAATAGAAGAAAATGAAAAAAAATAGAATACTCAAGTTAAGAAAATTAAAATTTGTGAAAAAGCAAAAGTGGAAGAAGAAATAATTAAGCTTGATAATAAAGATTATTAGAAAATATAACTCAAACTTTGAAGCATTAAAGTATCTAAATTTAAACTTGTAAAGAAAGAAAGAAAGATTGAAACAACATAGTTTTAATCTTTAATAATTTGCTCATAAAATCCATTATGAATGTAAATATACAATTTTACAGTCGATTGTATTTTGTGTCTATTTCTTTCAATTTTCAAGCCGTTGCCAAATTTTGGACCTCCAAAAATATTGTCTTTCTTATTCCCTTTCCTTCCCTTCCCCTAACGGGAGTAATCTCGAGATCCCATTTCCTGAGGTTCCCATTTTCTTATTTCCAATTGTTTGATGCAAATATTTTAGTCAAAAATTGTTTTTTTTAACAATATTAGTACCGTAAATACAACTCGAAAAATTCCATTTCCTTGCTCTAGTTGCTAGGAAATTGGAAGTTCCATGGAACACTTATTTTAAACATAAGTGTTATTTTGACCAAATATATATCTATATTGTGAAGTGYGCATAAGAATTCTTGAACATTTTATCTTAACCATAAGAGTTATTTTGACCAAATATATATCTMTTTAAAGTGTGCTTAAGAATTCTTGAACATTTATAGTATGATTTCCACTTTCATCAAAATATTTTCTAATCTTCAAGGAATTCTACTTCATTCTATACTTAAATCATTAATTAATTTTGAAAAAGATTGCAGAACAAACATAGAAAGCACTGAAGACAAAACATGAATTGCRATAAAATACTTATATCAGAAATATCAGTGTTTTAAGCAATCACCTCACCAAATCACTAAAAAATTATTGAATCTGCTAAGGCCATATACTCTATGATTTGATTGACACTAGTATATTGCAGATTTACCTGTTATGGTGTTTGTCTTGACCAGAGCGAAGTAGTGAAAACAGTGGTAACTTACTCTATGATATRTTTGATTGACAATAGTCTATCACCAATTTACCTGTCGCAACCTTTGTCTTAATCAGCACATTCATATACCACCCAACCACTACTAGAATCCCTTGCACACTTTCTTTCATTCAGTTCATTAGCACCAATTGTCCTACTATTGTCACAGGGAATACATATTTGAATAAGAAAGAAAGTTTGTAAAGCATTCTGGTAGTGGTAGTAAAAAGATGCAATTGGCCTGTCAATCAATTCTAGAGCCAAAGGGGTTGGATGCTTGACTCATAGCMAGTTATTTTACTTTTACTATAAACAAAGTACTACTACTCTGAGTCAAGAAATTTGGTCCAAGATTTGTCATATTAGGCAGATTAAGAACCCTGTTTTTTCTTCCCGCAAATGGCAAACGTGACCACGTTTTCATTGTTTCCCTACAATTCAYGTAACCTTTTGCAAACCTTCCTGATAAAGACAAGTATTCTTTTGTTTATCTACTACTTGGGGATTTTTGTGATTCCTTTTCACTAATTTCAAAGAATTTTTTAATGGTCAACTGACGTTTCACGTTTGCTGTAAACGAGAAGCTTAACCTCTCTATTAACAGCTAGCCCCACCCCCAAGGTTTTTGAGTCAAGTGCTATGGAGAATGATGATGTCTACTTATTGGCCTATTTTGTATTGCACAAGTTCCCCTTTCTTGTTAATTATCAGCCAAAGCTCAAGAACAACAAACCAGAGTACCAGGGAGGTACAAAGCAGCATAACTTTGCATTTCTGTGGGGGGAGGAGAGGTGGTGGATATAGACAACACTGTCAAATAACGGTACCCTGCCTGGCACTCTTTTGCCAACTTGCCCTTGAGCTGAGAGAGAGGTACTGAAAARCACTTGGCTCTAGAGTTTTTACATTTTTAACACTAGAATTATGATGTTGGTGAAAACAGTACACCTCCCTCCTCATCCTTAGAATGATCTGGCRGTACATATACTGATGACATCAGACTCCCAATATTAATTCCTTGACTTGATCCTGGAGAAAGCGACGACTGAGAACTAGAGAGTGATGAGTGTAATGATAGATTCCGAGGAATTTGCTCTGCACTGTGATTTCTAGGGGAAGTAGGTGAGGTGGTGCTTGATGATAACATCACTGCGGTGGATGTCTGTGTAGATGGTTTTGTCTCTCCAGGATGGTGGGAAGGTAGGTAGGGTAGCGTTGCCTCTAGTGTGATAGAGGAGTCTAGTAGTCTGCTTCTGAAACATAAAAGACATATAAAGGTTATTTACAGGCCAGGAAGTCCAGATAGGGAGGTTAAATTTTTGATCCAAGGATGTTAGACTTTGGTCTGTTCTATAGGCACAGGACACAGTTAAACCTCTATACTTTACTACTTCTCATAAAACCCACGAATAATTAATGAGGAAAACACAATAGAAATCATTGTCCAAGGAGGAGGTTGTATATCTGATACAAAATCGTCCTGATTTGCATAAACTTTAACTTTCAGGCACAATCGTTAAACAAAGAAATGATAAATCGGTCAATTATTAGGTGAATAAAATAGACAATAAAAGAATGGAACATTTACCTAGTAGAGTCTCCAGTAGAGTTCGTCATGTACACATCCCCATTGGCCAGTTCTGTAGCAGGGTCTTCTACTTTACCAAGCATGCTATATCTATATTAATCAAACAAACGAAAAATAAAATAAGAGGAAAAAATGAAATTTTACTGSCTACTCCAGTTTTCCTTATTAGAGACTTATTTATTATTCACACACATAAATTTACTTACAAAAATAATACAGCAAATTGAAATAAAGTTTAARTATACAATTAATGTGATAACTAGGACATGTTGAAAAAGAATTTAATTGTTAGGTGTGTGTGGCTGTCGAAATAGTTAAAACTTTCATGTTGACAGTCACGAAAATCAACGTTTGAGCAGAAGCTTTGCGTCATGAATGTTTCATTGTGGAGTGATTTGCCCAGATTCTCCAACATTTGTAATCAGAGTTGATTGTTGGTTCTCATCTGTTCTTCAAGTTTTTTTCCTGGTTCTCCCATTTATTTCCTCCCCCCACGAAAAAAGACTTCTAAATTCCAATTTGACTCTAGTCGCTAAAGGAAATATGCAATCTCTACTACCATGTGTAAATCCAAAATTAATAAATTGAATTATTAGTTATTAACCAACCTCTTAGCGTCATCATCCTCCCAATCATCATCATCTTCATCACTAGAATCATCTGGTGCTACGTAAAGGACTTCCAAGGTTATATCACCATGTACGCTAGACAGAATCTTTACAGCCTCATTATGCTTCGCTTCTTGAAGGTCAATTCCATTGACGGCAAGGACAGCATCTCCTACATATAACCCCCCAGACCGTGATGCTGGCATTCCATCATGGATTTCAGATATGAGAATGGGAACCCCATGTTCTTTACCTCCCTGGAAATGGATGAACAAGTTGAACGTAAGAGTAACATACTGCAGTATGAAGGATGGTGATGATTAAGTGTACTGGGAAATGTGGAAATTCACATACTTCTTGGAATCTCATTTTCAGTATCTTTTGAAGCATTTCTGGGTAAGAAAGGGGATTACATTGACACCCAGTAACCCATACCTAGAACTAACACTGATTATATTTAAAAATACCTACCGTTATCGATACCCCTAACCCTTCATTTTTTTCCTTATGTACAACCACTGTCCTCGGCTCCCCAATACCCCTTCGCTTTCTATTTAAGGAGTCGGCATCCTCATTCTCACTTGGATCAGGTAGAGGTGGCTTGGGTGGTTTATTATGTGGATCCTTACGGCCTCGACATGCTCGTATGACAGTTTTATGTCGGTGTAAATGAATTTCGGCTTCTATTTGATTCCATAGTTTGTCGTGTGCACTCCCTCTCATGTCTCTACCAAGAAGTTGAATCTGTTGTATTCTAAAATAAATATTTTTTTTCAATCATTTTAATTAATTACAATTCGACCTCAAAATCAGAGGACCGTGTGTTAAATGACTCTTTGTGGTTAATACTTTCTTTCCCTCTTCAAAAAAAGGTTATTTAGTATTTTATCTTATTTTCAAACCCCAAGAAACAACCTCTGGGCTGATCTAAGTCAGGGCA